TCATTAGTGTATCAGACAGCAAGTGTGCATGGAAATATTTTTTTAAAGCATAGGTTTACCTGAATTTGAGATATCGGCAGGGAGACAGTTGATCTTACTTTGTGACGCCCCTCAACATGCGATACTAACGTAGAGGGCAAGTTTAAAGTCTTGTGAGATGCACCAGGCTTTCAGCTACATCATACTTGATGCTGACAGCAGCTGAATAAATAGCAAAATGGGATTTTCACCCAGGAGAACACAGTTTGTGTCCCATGTGAAACCAAAAAAATCTGTAATTTAAATGTAATATTACACAGCTTATGTACAATCATAGCACACTGGCGTCTCTCATGTAAAATATCTACATCTAGCTGTGTAACAAAACATGATCTTTTTTTCTAAACCTAACCAAGTGGTTTTGTTGCCTAAACCGAACTTTGACACTTTCACAACACTAACCACATTACAATGTGTTTTAGCTGTGTGTCACAACGATATGTGAAGAGGCACCCTATGAGTCGCTATCAGATGCAGAGGGACGTGACAATGCATCACATAATGATAACTGGATTTCTTTTTGCAGTGAAGTTGCCCCCTGCTGGCGATCAGAAAGAATGCAGGTTTCAGTCTCATCTGCATTGGCTTCACTTTTCAGACCCAAAAATAACCCCTTGGTCTGGACCAAAATGCTGGACTGACTGACAGACCAATACTGCCATGCTGCTAACAAAACTACAAAAAAGAAGAGAACAACAAAACTCTGTATTTGACTCTACTGCAAATCAGCAATGACCCAGGTCATTAGGCTATATGTGGTGCAGGAATCAATCAGAGTGGGTGCATGTGGTGAAATGTGATTGGATGTGGCAAGGCAGGTGGTGTGTGCTGATGGGCTGTCAGAAGACATTGCTGTCACCGGATTGATCCACTACTAAACAGAGCATTTTTAAACCACCAGCTGACGGAAGCTCTTCCCTCCCTTCTCAGTCTTCCTCTACCAACAGAGCCAGAACATAGTCTGTGTTTGTGAAATTGTTGTGAGAATCTGTAGGCCCCAAACCTTATGATTTAGGTGAACTAGTGTGAATATTTGGATAACTTCAGCATCTAGGAAAGGTAGTTGGTCAGTTTTGAGTAGGCAAGCTGAGTTTTGTTTAACAGTTTATTTTTTAGAATTATTAGTGGGTTTTCTTGTATTCTTTTGTTGAGCACTGCAAATAGAGCAGTTTAAGCATTATCAGTATGAGTGAGAAGCCCCTCTTTGTTTGGCATTGCCATGTTCTATTGTCTTGTTTTTAAATGGCATTAATTTAGGTTAGAAAATTGTCTTTTGTTTCACATTTCTTTTTGCTAGGTAAGTTTAGGATCCATTGGAATATGTTTGTTTATTCTATTGGGCACTGCTCACCTCTGAAGACGAATAAAGTGCTTTCTTTGTTGTTTAAAAAACTGTGTAACTGGCTTTTCTTGTGGGAGGAGTGGGGAGTCACAGCATGTTATGTCTACTATAGGTTCCCCTAGACTTAACACAATGCAGCTGAAAAAAAATTCAAGTTTCTGAAAAATACCTACTTAAGTTTAATTAAACCTCACAGAACCTGACCTGAAGCAGTACAACCATTCTGCACCCAGGAAAAGATATAGCAAGGCTTCAAGGTCTGGGGAATCACAATGAAACAACTTCATTATCCGCCACCAGAGGGCAGAGAAAGCGGGAGAATCTTGTGTTTGCACACACATATTTGAGCCACCAGAGTGCAGCAATCTTACAGTTTTTCCTGTTTGCTTGAACACATTTGTCCATTCAGAAGTTAAATTTTCAAAACAGCTCACACACAGGCTTTACTTTAAGTCACTGGGCTAAAATAATACATTTTGTCAGCAAAATACTTGCAGTCTAAATAATGTGTTCTTTCAATCAATCATTGGACAATGGACAACAGAATATAAAGTACAGCTATCAATATGAACCACTTCAACCTTAAATTGTTGATACTTTACATAGTTATAGTGGGTGCCAAAAAAGACAAGTGAGCACATCACAGCATGAACTGTATGTCTTTTCTCTAAAGATAATTTGCTGCTGCAATCTGCATTTGCACTTTTAACACTTTTTTGTGCTGTCCTGTTAAAATACTGACTATACTTTTAATTAGGGCTGTCAAATTAACATGTTAATTTTAAAGATTAATCACAAAAAAAGATGCATTGAAAAAAAATTGACACTGCTTAATCACCTTCTGTGGTGCCCTTTGACCCGGTGTGTCAATGAATGCCACAGTTGCTTTGTCACATGATGGAGGCAGACAAGACAACCCTGCTTGGCACAATGAATGGAACATTTACGTCTAAAATACGCTCAGATGGAGCTGTTAATAGGAGCACTGTTCGCTGCAATTTGTGCAGAAAGGATTTCTCAGACCATCAGAGTACTTCAAGTCTTAAATATAACCTCAACACAAAGCATTTAGCAGCGAACACAGAGGTACACGCTAGCGCAGTCTCTGATGCTAGCGCCAGCAGTAAGCCTCATCATGCCACATTCGACCAGGCGTTCAGACGCAAGCTGAGTAAGCCTTCCTGTGATCAACTGACGAACTCCCTTGCAAAAAGGATTGCAGTAACCTGCAGATCAGTTTTGGTGGTAGAGGACAGGGGGACAATTGTGTCCAAAATCCAGCAGCTTTACTATGACACATCTGGCAAAATTCATTTGAACTGAAATTTTTAAAATACTTTTACAGCAAAAAATGATGTATGGGATTAATTTAGATTAATTAACCAGAGTGCACGGAATCAGAATCATTTTTTTTAATCGCTCGACAACCCTACTTTTAATACTTACATACATTAATAGTTTTAATACCATGCTTGCAAATAGCAACATGGAGGTGGTAAAGATAATTAAAGACTGATTGCTAATTGAAGAGTTGAGCAAAAGAGTTTTACACAGGTGCGTTTCAATAAGGAGAGACTCATTTTTAGTTATGGAAAAGAAAATTTTTAGTAACTAGTGCACATGAGAATGAAAATGTGAAAATGTGAAAAGTAAATAGATGGTTTTGTTTAACACAGTTAATCCAAGAGAGTTTGGGGTCCTTCTTTGAGATCTGTGATAGCTGTTTTGAAAAATGGTAGAAAAAAAAAAAGTGTGCGAAACCACTGAAAATGTGTGAACACATTTGCAAGAGAAGAAGGTGATAAAGAAAATCAGGTGGGTCCCAGTTTCGTGGAGCGTGAAAAACTAACAAACACTTTATTTATTTTTTTTAAATCCTTACGTTAACCATTGGTAAAGTATGATCTTTAATGTGATCTACAATTTTCAAAGCTGGACAGTTAGAAACTTGTCCAAAGTTTGTCTACTTTAGATTTTGACACTTTACACCAAGAACAGAACAAATATTGTGGTGTTTTTCTTATCATACTAAATACAGTCTTTGGGCATGAATGGGTTAAGGGTGTCTTTGCAATCAAGAAATACTGTGATTTTAACTTAAGTCTGAGCAGATTTTAACCCTCAAACAGTCTATTGAAGAAGTGATAGAATATCCTCACTCCAAAGGTCTAAAACTCTAGTTGGTCCTCCCAAATATAGGACCACAAGAGAACACACAAACACTCTCATATAATTCACATATCTATGTATTATAAATATAAACATGCACCCAAAATGTATCATTTAGCAAAGGTATGACAAATAATACCTGAATGGGAAATGTGCACCAAGCATGCACAAATGGGGTTCTGCGCTCGTCAGTATGTGTGGAAATCTTGGAGTTTTTGTTTTTTTGGATAACTTTCCGTGTGATGAGGATATTTCTGTCGTGACCTTTTGCAACATCAGGAGGTCGTGAGCCCTGTTCAGAGTGACCTAATTGACCGAGGGGACAACGAAAGAAGGAAGTGGTTGTGCACTGAAACATTTCTCTGAGGAAAGTAAGAGGGAAGAAAACATTGAAGTGGTTCATTTCATGTAAATGAGAAAAGTTAATGATCTACTGAGGGTGCAGTGACTCCTTATGTTTCCAAAACTGGCTGAAATTTTGGTTTCATGTTGTGCACTGTAAGAGTTGTTTTTATTTGTTTTTCAAAGAAACTTCCAGGAATTTAACTGCATTTCTGCTGAATAATGCAACCAGCTGAAAATGGGATAAAAAATGACTAAAAATCTAGTGTGAAAGTATCTGCAGAGCAAAAATCTTTATTTTTAACCATTTATTTGTCTTTTCAAAGATTTTAACTTCAGAGTTGCATCAGCAGCTCAGCTGCTCTTTTGTGGCTTCTTTCTTCTTTTTTTTCTTTTTTACTTTCTATTACTGGAAGCCTTCTGTGACCCTGTTTACCATAAACAGCAAAGGAAAGTCTTATGGTGTGGGAACATAATCATATTTACTACAAATGACTGCATATTTTTGCATCTGTGTGTGTGTCTGTGTGTGTCCATGACAGTGAGAATTCATTGGAAAAACTGTTTGTATAACTCAATGGGGATGGATCATTTTTTTCCCTTGTGGAATAATGAGGATTATCTCGAGTCTTCAGTTGTAATAACACAAGGTCATTGGCCCCGTTTAGAGGGATCTGATTGGCCGAGGGCACTGAATAAACTCTTTTCTGATTAACAGAAGACAGTCATCCACTGTGTGTGTTTATACATGCGTGTGTGTGTGTGTGTGTGTGTGTGTGTGTGTGTGTTAAATGCAAGGACAAAGTGAGTGTGACTGTGTGAGAAAAAGAGAAGCAGTCAGACAGGAAGACGAGGCCAGACACACATGACATAAAACGAGAGAGAGAAAGAGGAAGGGTCTATTTGTGTATGTGTGTGTGTGTGTGTGTGTGTGTGTGTTTTGGCAATAAACCCATTACAACCAAGAGTGATACAGGGGAACTTCACTCTGCATGTACACACACACGCATACAGGCACGCACATGCACACGCACGCACACACACACACACACACACACACACACACACAAACACACACAAACACAAACACACAAACACATAGAGCTCATGAAGATGTGTCTTCATTTCTGCCTCTGACCACTGAGACTGAAGCAGCTGACCTCAGAGCTGTGATATCAGTGAAACATCTGCAGGTAAGAAATCAGGACATTTTCAGTCTCATCGTCTGATTTCACACGTGTTTGTATCTCATTTAGAGAAATTTTAAGCACTTTTGTTGCTTAATGGGTCACATTTATGTCTGAATATGTCACAGCAATATTTTGATACTTTGTAATTTGAGGGGAAAAGGGCCATTGTTCGTATGTGGCGTAGGTCACTCCACTGTTTGTATCCTGTATGTCATTATTGACTGCTCTGTTGGGGACAGCTATCAAACATTGTTGGCTTTCCACCCAGAAAATGAAACTAATGAATGTAGAGCGGCATGTAGGAGAAGAGAAACCAAACTAAAAAATAAATGTTGTTATCGTACATTTCTGCAAACCAGGGATAGGTTGAATTTGTATGTTTTCAGCAGTAACGTAACGTTATGTTTCTTTACCTTTAAACTGCACTGTGGTTAACATATGGTAAGACTAGGCACAAAATGGTTATTTTGTGGTTATGGTTATGGTTAGGAAAAGATCATGTCTAGGCTTAAAATACATGGTTTTGGCAGTACAAACACGGCTGGAGAAGCTGTCGATGTCTTCTTAAAAAACAGATGCTTTATTTGTGGCACTATCCCAGTTGGAAACCCGGCAGTATTAGCAATTTAAAAAAAACATTTTTTCGTGGCACTAAGCCTGCTGGAAACACAACAAGGGGTCATTAAAAAACACTCACATTTGTTAGCAAAATTTGTTGTTTGTTGGTTTTTGCGCAGTGGTCTGCAGCTTGGCAGGTGCTTACATGTCACGGCATTCACCATCCCCTCCACCTCCTGATGACAAATTCAGTACATATACAACGTCACTTTAGAAACACTGATATAATATGAATAAATATATAATGTACGGTATCCATGATTTGGAGAAAAGGACCTGCATTTTTTTTGGTAAATGGATCTGCATTTGTATCGTGCCTTTCTAGTCATGCGACCGCTCAAAGCGCTTTTTTTACACTACGAGTCACATTCACCCATTCACACTCATTCATGCACTGGTGGCTGAGGCTACCATGCAAGGTGCCACCTGCTACTCGTTTTTAACTCACACACTGATGAAAGCATCATCGGGAGCAATTTGGGGTTCAGTATCTTGCTCAAGGATACTTCGACATGCAGACTGGAGGAGCCGCTGATCTTCTGATTGGTGGAAGACCCGCTCTACCTCTGAGCCACAGCCGCCCCCTATACAAAGCCAACATTTTCCGTTGGCGACTGAGCTGGAAAAAGTTTTGTACCAAATGTGTTTTCAAACTAAGGTTATTTTTTTGTACTGTGTGCAACAATAGTGCACTTTTAAAGTTCATGTAATCGCTTTAAAAGGACTGTGCACAATGTCTAAAATTATAATTAAATGAAGTTAAACACATCACTGAAGAGCTGCTGCATTTAGCTGAAAAGGTGAGAAATGGAATGGGAAATACTGACAAGGAAATTTCAAAGCATTTCTGATATATACAAGTTTATTGTTGTATTTTTCTTTATTAGAAAATACAGAAAATATTAGGTTCTTCTTTTTTAAGATTGTTCAATGTAGTAGTTTTCAGTGGCCTCTTCTGCATTTCGGACAAGAAAAAAGCAAAGAAAAAAGCTGTTGTTGCTGATGTGAGAGACGTTTTTCTTCTCTGTTGTTTCTATCTCAGATTTATGTCATCTACTTTATAACTTAATTGGCACTAATTTGTTGATTTGGAGGTCACATGTTACTGTGTCAGGAGCATTCAGGTGATTTTATTTTCATCATGTAGCAGAGAGCTTCTTTAAAAAAAAAAAAACAGGTATATGTAACCCAGACTCCCTAAAAACTTGTGTTTTTCAACCAAAGTCAAGCCAATAATTACTAGAAAATACAAACAGCAGTTTGCAGCTGTGTGTAGCTGAAGGGTTTTCTGGAAGTCGTGAACAGCTCAGAGTGAAATCTGTGGCTTTTTGATGCTGCAAACAAACTTTAAACAGGAAATCTTTATTGGGCTCGAGTTATTTCTTCTGTTTTTAGACTGAAGCTGCTGTGTTTTGTTGGACTAATCGGATTTAGAGATAATGATATGCCATTATGCCATTATTTCAGATTTGGTTGTGTTTTCTTCAGTAATTTTTGGCATGTAACATTCTCCATAGTGTTACTTATCACCTGTTATACATGAGGGGTTGATGTAGCTCACACAGCGCTTGGAGGTTTGTGGTTGTTTGAGACAGAGCAGGGCTCATATTGAAACAGTTTGTGGTGAACTGCTGTTTAATGAGCAGCAGCGGGCTCATAAATGTTTTTCTTCTGTGGTATTTTGTTGTGCTTCCTCTCCATGTGCCAAGAGCAGTGCTGTTCACAAATGCTGCAGTTCGTCTCTGTTATTCTGTGTCATATTCAAACATCTGCTTCACATTACCAAATGTCCACTTTGCTACAATCTGATGCTAACAACAAGGATGACTCAGTCTAGTTCCTCTATCCATTTCATTGAAACTTTCACATCACTTCACAGCTCGAATGAAGTCATTAATGTGTTCTTTATGGGAAACATTCTCTGGTTGACAGGAAATGATGCATTATCACTGATTTAATAGCAATTTGTCTCACAGAAGCAGGAAGTGTGAGAGCCAGTTAACTAATCCTACCCTATATAAACAGATTGATGAGTGCAGCTGTAAGCTACGGAAGCCCCTGAAAAGAAATTCAGGTGATCCATTTTCCTAGTGTCATCTAAATTCTTTTTGATGCAAGGATTATCTTTCCAACTTCCTTATTTATTTATTTATTTCATCTGTGAAACCAACCTACTTCTCATATTTTGACGCATGGGCAGAAGCATTTTAACCTGATGCCATCCAGCGGCGTATCATATCACTGCAACAGGTGGCTTTTGGGGTTTGGTGTCTGATGCCAAAATCATAGACAAAATGGCGGTAATGACTTGGGAATGAGATAGGGCTGTGTGAGCGGCTTTGAGTGGTGCAAATGCCGTAACCGGTGTTGCTGTTTGTTGGTCTGGAACACGTGTATCCGGGTCCATGTCATTGGTCCAACAGCCAATTGGTTCGACATCCCATTAGTCCGACTGTCTGCGGTGCTGAACGGCTTGCGGTGGGCGTATGGTGCGCCGCGACCGGCTTGAGGCGGAGCAGGCTCACAGCTTATGTGTTTGTCACTTTCTTTTTCATTTTAACCCACACCATGATCTTTTCCTGACCCTAACCAAGTGGTTTTTGTGCCTAAACCTAACCAGACCTTAACCACACGGCATCATGATGATTTCGGAACAATGAGTTTAATATGGTTGGAACAATGGGATGTCGAACCAATGGGCTGTTGGACCAATGCGCAGTTCCCGTGTATCCTAGGTCAAAGTATGATGTTTGCACTTCACCTCCTACCCACCCTAAAGAGACTTTCATGCTCACTGAACTACATCCGTTGCTCTGAGTGTCTAATAATGACACGCATGCGCCTGTAGCACAGTGTCCCAGTGTCATTATAGTGACACTGGAGACACTGTCCATATTTTGATGCTCTGGGAGTGAGATCGGGCTGGTGAAACAGGTGGGGTTTTTTGGTTGTTTTTTTTCTGGGTGGAAAAAAAAGTTTTGCCATTATCATTTTTCTAAGTTACTCTCTAAAATATGTAGTTCTAACCATTTTTCTAAGTGTTTGTTGTTGTAATACTCATTCTGGCCACAAGAGACTGACGTGCACCCTTACCCTATGTCTGTGTGTTTTAGTTTACCCATGTGCTCTAAACACAAAGTACACATACTGTGTGTTGACGAGTTATGTAACATCATTGGCCATTCTTTTGGCTAGATTAGTGCAGATTAAAATACAATTCTAGCCAAAAGAAAGACATGGCACATCAGCCAAAATGAGTACTGTTACAACAAAACAACAAACATTTAGAAAAATGACCTTGATCCTTTTTTCTTATCTATTTAACAGATGAAAAAAATTAAGTTATAAACACCAGAGAGAAAGCAATTCACATCAGAACGTTCAGGGTTTTTTGGACCCATCCACCTCCCCTACCACCCACACCAACTGCCAGTGTGTTTCATAACACCACAAAAGGTGCCTTGGTACATTGGTATCTTTGGTGGTTGTCCACTGACATAGCGCCAGTATTTGGCAACAACTGTCGCCACCTGATGTGTATTATACCACCTCGAAAGGTGCCTTTGTGCATCTGTATCTAACACCCAGATCACTGACAAAGCAATGGTATCTAATGTGTTCGGAATGAGAACAGGCTGAGGCAATGCACAGAGCTGTCTGCAGACAGGCAAGAGTCGCAAACTGTGGTAAAAACCCAAGTGAAGATGCCTGTTCTGAATGCACTGTATACATGTCCAAAAAATGCTTCTAAGAATACTGTCATATTTGGAATAACAGTGGAATATGAATGCATGTGTAAATGAAGTGACCTAAGGACATTGTAAAAGAGGCAGCAGAATTTGCTTTTGAATGATGTTAAATTGTATCAGTGGATTCATTATAAGAAGTGGGGTTCAGCGTTTCCTGGTTTTAACACCAGAATATGTTTTAAGATCCTCAGTGATGCAGGGAAGAAATATAAGAAGTATAAGAATTTTTTATATATGTTATAACGTATCCATATATTTTAACTTCCACATTAGGTCCTCGTTTATTCTACATATTCGATGAGTATTGTTGGAGGGTGTGAAATCTAAGATTTTTATTGCCAAGGACTGCGTCCCTGTAAATGCTGTGCAGAAGACTTGAAAGATGAACTGAAAACAGTCTTCTTCCTTGTTGTCATAATCACAGATGCCAAATATAGTGCAAGCATCGTGACTCGTTCTGTAGCTGTCCTGACATGTCTGAATCGAGCCATAAGGAACATGAACATAGAAACCATCTATGTCTGAAGGACGAAAAGCAATCACTTTACAGATGAAGCCAGCAATGTTACATATTCCATGTCTGAGCTGCAGCTGCTGCTTCAGGGTGCTGACACTCTTTTTTGTTCCAATGCAAGT